GTATAACAACTTTAATTAATGAAAAAACTGCATCAATTACCTACACTAATGAGCCCCAAACATCCATTATATATCACATTTTAATATTCACCTATAATTATTGTTCTAAAATTTGTGTTAAGTTTTATATTGTGTGTTGCTGGTGTTGCTGGTATGTGACTGTATCAAGCACCGCCATGAACCGTGTGTTGACTGTATCAAGCAATCGCCATGAACCGTGTGTTGACTGTATCAAGCACCGCCATGAACCGTGTGTTGACTGTATCAAGCACCGCCATGAACCGTGTGTTGACTGTATCAAGCACCGCCATGAACCGTGTGTTGACTGTATCAAGCACCGCCATGAACCGTGTGTTGACTGTATCAAGCACCGCCATGAACCGTGTGTTGACTGTATCTTCTCTTGGTGACTAATTACCGTACCCCTGGGTTAGTGTATTACCTTATAACACACTGTAATATTCTTATAAGTTACTGGAATTACAGGTCACTCCAAGAACCTGACCTGTTATCCACCACCTGTTGACCTGTTATCCATCACCTGTTGACCTGTTATCCACCACCTGTTGACTTGTTATCCACCACCTGTTGACTTGTTATTCACCACCTGTTGACCTGTTATCCACCACCTGTTGACCTGTTATCCACCACCTGTTGACCTGTTATCCACCACCTGTTGACCTGTTATCCACCACCTGTTGACTTGTTATCCACCACCTGTTGACTTGTTATCCACCACCTGTTGACTTGTTATCCACCACTTGTTGACCTGTTATCCACCACCTGTTGATCTGTTATCCACCACCTGTTTACCTGACCTGTAAGTTCATCATGTACGGCGCCCTAACAGCCTGCAGGTGACGTCAACAGCGCTACTCATTTTGACTTCACTAGGGGAGAAGACTCATTTTGACTTCACTAGAGGGAGAAGGCTCATTTTGACTTCACTAGGGGAGAATCATTTTGACTTCACTAGGGGAGGGGGCCTATTTTGACTTCACTAGGGGAGAATCATTTTGACTTCACTAGGGGAGAATCATTTTGACTTCACTAGGGGAGGGGACTCATTTTGACTTCACCAAGGGAAAGATAGCGGGTTGACACGTTGGCTTCAGGAGGTTTGTGTGCTGAAGGAAATGATCCGGCGGGCGGTAGTGAAGGTAAAATTCAAATGGGTGTCGGTGATGGTTACTGGTGGAGGGATGAGATAGGAGTTTCCTTCCCTCCACTCCCTCCTCCTATCTTCCCTCCACCCTCCTCCTTATCTTCCCTCTTCCCTCCTCCTTATCTTCCCTCCTCTTCCTCTACCCCTTCCTTTTTTCCTTCTTTCCTTCATTCGTTATAGAGGTCAGGAGCAGCCATGTGTGTATATCAGTTGCCACCCACCCACCGCCCGTCCACCCGCCCACCGCCCACCAAACTCACACCGCCCACTTGTTGTTTCCTACCCAACTGCTGCCTCAACTGTGTCCATACAATGAGGTACAGCTTAATTAAACGCTAAATTTGCAGGTACGTTGGGCAGAAAATTTGGGACAGGTGTTGATAGGGACTCTGTCTGTCTGTCTGTGGGTGTGTCTGTCTGTCTGTATCTGTCTGTCTGTCTGTCTGTTAAATGGACAGAGGTCTCTTTATATATACGGGATATGGGAGGGGTTGCCAGATGTCGTCTTTGAGAGAGGGTCGACGCCATAAATTTGGAGGTGTGGTGTCACATTCATTAGCGGTGCAGCGCCTTAAAACACACACACACACACACACACACACACACACACACACACACACACACACACACACACACACACACATATATTTTGCCACAGTAATTTTTGTCCATGACGCAGGTGTTGTGTAGACCATCCCGGCACTCACTAGACTATCCTGGCACTGACTGGAGTACTAGACTATCCCGGCACTCGCTAGACTATTCTGGCACTCACTAGACTATCCTGACACTAACTAGACTATTCTGGCACTCACTAGACTATCCTGGTACTCACTAGACTATCCCGGCACCACTAGACTATCCTGGCACTCACTAGACTATCCTGGCACTCACTAGACTATCCTGGCACTCACTAGACTATCCTGGCACTAACTAGACTATCCTGGCACTCACTAGACTATCCCGGCACTCACTTGACTATCCCGGCACTCACTAGACTATCCCGGCATTCACTAGACTATCCCGGCACTCACTTGACTATCCCGGCACTCACTAGACTATCCCGGCACTCACTTGACTATCCCGGCACTCACTAGACTATCCCGGCACTCACTAGACTATCCCGGCATTCACTAGACTATCCCGGCACTACTCTTGACTATCCCGGCACTCACTAGACCAGTGGTTCTCAACCTTGTTTGCCCCATGCCCCTTCATATATCAGAATGTCATTCACCCCTCCTCCAAGATTGTCTGCCTCAAAAGTGCATTCCAAATAATATGCATATAATACTGAAAACCTTTATTTTTCCATATTAGTACATATACATTTACAATTTTACATGGATTATTTTATAGTGGAGTTTTACAAATTAAATCCCAATTGAAAATGTTGATGATTTATAAAACTTGAATAAAAGCAAAATAGTTTTTTATATTTATAATGAATTACTTAACAGACCAAACTGAAGCATAATGCAAACAAAAGTTCAATAGAATACCAGGATATTGTAAATTTGTAATTAATTTTATTCAGATGAAGATTGCAGTCAAGAGAAACCTGTGATTGTTTTTTCTTCGCCAATTCTGGATACGCGAGGAGTGCTTGAAAGGCACAACGCAGGTCATTTTCTACCTCTAATCTACCCGTTGCTTCGTTTTAATTTGCAACAGAGTTTAAAAGCCTGACTCACAAAGATATGTCGACACAAACGGAAGCAATGCACGGATACCTTTTCTGCCACTTTTGGGTAGGAATCGCCATCAAGGGCCAAAATTCTGTGATTGATTTCTCATCGAACACATCTCTTGCTCCCGAATCAGTTCCCCCCCCCCCTGAAAACCTGAATTCCCCCCTGGTTGAGAACCCCTGGTTTAGGTTATATTTGGTTGGGTTAGTTTATATTTGGTTGGGTTAGGTTAGTATATTATTATATAGTATCGTGTTATTCTGCCGGTGTCTATGTGGCATCTCCAGTCTGACCTTTGTGGCACCATTCCTGCACTTGAGGTGTGTGGGGGGTGAGTTTTAGTATGCAAAGGCGGCCTTTTCACCTCTCCATAGTGCCTGAGCGCTCCCTGGAATGAGTGCCTCTTGCAATGACTTTCAGATGAGAAAAATGGCTCTGGGAATAGTGACTGGGAATGACCGCCTCTAAGAATAATAACTAGGAATGACTGTCTCAAGGAATAATGACTGTTGAAATGACACACTCTCTCTGATGGAGGTGGAGGGCGAGACAGGTGGAGGGGAGGCAGGTGGAGGGGGAGACAGGTGGAGGGCGAGACAGGTGGAGGGCGAGACAGGTGGAGGGCGAGGTAAGAGGCAGGAGGAGATTGAAGGATCACTCAGCTTTAACACATGAGTTATGAACCTCTACATACACACACACACTAGAGAGAAAGGGAGTGTGGGAAAGAGAAAGCAACGCATACATTAGAGAGAGTGAGAGAGACAAAGGAGGATAGAGAAAAGAAACATACATTAGAGAGAGAGTGAGAGAGACAGAGAGAGCACACACACACACACACACACACACACACACACACACACACACACACACACACACACACACACACACACACACACTTACTTCAGTATTCAGGCAGCGACGCTCACCACAGCCCGGCGCGGTAAGGGAAAAAATCCCCCAGATTTGTAAGGGTCCAGTGAGGGGAAAATCCCGACGCAGATTTACGATGGATGCTATATGTAGTAGGGGGATTTTGGGGGGCATTTTAGGACATATGAAGGACAGCTGGTGGTATTTTTTGTGCATTCTTGAGGCATATGGGGACATTTTGGGGGGCATTTTGATTATATATGATACACCTCTTGGGCTACGTCATGACCTCTTGGTATCTGATATTAAGAGGCTGGAGACATACCAACCTATATATGGTGAGAGGCTTCTTCCCTTCCCTTCCCTTCCCCTTCCCTTCATCCTCTCCCCCACCTCTTCTTGCCCCCCCTCCTCACCTCCTCTCGCCCTCCCTCTCCCTCATCACCTCCTCTTCTCGCTCCTCTACCCCCTTCCCCTGTTGCTTCTCTTTCAGGGAGGGAGGGGAATGGAACGAGGATTAGTGAGGGAAACAGGTGAAGAGGAGAGAGAGAGAGAGAGAGAGAGAGAGAGTGTTTGACAGTGAAGAGGGAAGAGGGAAACAGAGAAGAGGAGGAGAAGAATAAGGGGAAGTGAGAGGTGAATGGGGAAGAGGGGGGAGAGGGAGGAGAGGGAGAAATGAATGACAACGTGTACGTGACATTACTGTTGTAACACACACACACACACACACACACACACACACACACTGCTCTCTCTCTCTCTCTCTCTCTCTCTCTCTCTCTCTCTCTCTCTCTCTCTCTCTCTCTCTCTCTCTCTCTCTCTCTCTCTCTCTCTCTCTCTCTCTCTCTCTCTCTCTCTCTCTCTCTCTCTCTTTCTTTCTTTTCTTCTCTCTCTCTCTCTCTCTCTCTCTCTCTCTCTCTCTCTCTCTCTCCATATCTTAATTGTTGGCATACATTTTCTCCATATAATGTGTATAATGTGTGTTACTATACACTAACCCCCATATAATGTGTTATAATGTTACTATACACTAACCCCCATATAATGTGTATAGTGTATGTTACTATACACTAACCCCCATATAATGTGTATAGTGTATGTTACTATACACTAACCCCCATATAATGTGTATAGTGTATGTTACTATACACTAACCCCCATATAATGTGTATAGTGTATGTTACTATACACTAACCCCTATAATTATAATGTGTATAGTGTATGTTGCTATAGGCCGTGCAGTTATGTTGTATTTTCTCTGTATTTCAGTTTATGAATGAAAAGATTGGCGGAGTTGAAGGAACCAAACTAGATGAAGACTTCTTCGAAATGGAAAGGGTGAGTGTTCCTAGTAGAATATTCTGATATACTCATGTTGCTAGTAGTATACTCATGTTGCTAGTAGAATATTTTGATATACTCCTGTTGCTAGTAGTATACTCATGTTATAGAATATTCTGATATACTCTTGTGGCTAGTAGTATACTCATGTTGCTAGTAGAATTTTCTGATATACTCTTGTGTCTAGTAGTATACTCATGTTGCTAGTAGAATATTCTGATATACTCTTGTGGCTAGTAGTATACTCATGTTGCTAGTAATAGTATAATCTGATATACTCATGTTGCTAGTAGAATAATCTGAGATACTCTTGTGGCTAGTAGTATAATCTGATATACTCTTGTTGCTAGTAGTATAATCTGATATACTCATGCTGCTAGTAGTATAATCTGATATACTCTTGTTGCTAGTAGTATAATCTGAGATACTCTTGTGGCTAGTAGTATAATCTGAGATACTCTTGTTGCTAGTAGTATAATCTGATATACTCTTGTTGCTAGTTGTATAATCTGATATACTCTTGTTGCTAGTTGTATAATCTGATATACTCATGCTGCTAGTAGTAATACCTCCTCAAGTGGTATAACCATGCCATCAGCTACACGCACTCGCCGTGTGTGTGTGTGTGTGTGTGTGTGTGTGTGTGTGTCCTTTCTCCCTTACTATTACAAAAACTATATATTTAAATTGTTTACGTTAAGTGGTTTGTGTTTCAGCGGGGGAGAGAGAGGAAGGAAATATAAAATTGGGGAAAAGGCTGGGAAATGGGACGAAGAAATGAAAACCATGGCGGTGTCGACGTGCAGCAGTGTAACCTGGGTGGTGCCGTCCTTAGAGTTTTGCGGTCCTGTTTACTGCACGAGCTAAGTGGTCCGTCACACACATACACACACACACACACACACACATACATATTTCCCTTTCATTACACCCTCTCTTTCCTCCACACCCTCTCTGTTCACTGCCCAGCGCTCCTGCGACATTAACACGTTGATTTTTCCTTTAGATTAGTTTCCCTCTCAATCCTTCACCAGATTAAAAAATAATAATAATAAATCTGTTAATTGGACCTGGGTTGTCATCTTCTACGTACCATCAGGCCTCGTGGGACGTAAGGGTGAAAATCTCTTATTAAATTTACGGGGCCGGACTTCTCATATGTCATGTCACCTTCTTGGAATGCCTCTTAACTTCAAGAGCCAAAAACTATGGTAAAATTTTGAAGTTTGGAAGAGAAAAAAATCGATGATTGAAGGAGGTGGGGAGACTTCCCATACGATAAAAAAAATAATTCCATTTTTTTTTCTCGCGATAGTTATGAGTTGAGGATTTGTAAAGAATATGTGAAAGTTTTGGTGGATGAGGGTGAAGGAGATAGGAAGAAGTGAAGATATTGGTATGAGGTCTGGATGGCTACTGAGGACGTGTGGTGCAAATGTTCGTACGTTCATCATTTAATATTTTGAATGATCGTACGAGTTTGGCTTCATATTAAACTGCACTCACTTTAGCTACGGTACAATAGAACGGTTAAATTGTCGTCGAAATTGTTTGCATAATATATCGTGTAGGATCATTGTGTGTGTGTGTGTGTGTGTGTGTGTGTGTGTGTGTGTGTGTGTGTGTGTGTGTGTGTGTGTGTGTGTGTGTGTGTGTGTGTGTGTGTGTGTGTGTGTGTGTGTGTTACTGTCTACCACCATTACCACTATCACTACTACTACTACTACCGGTATCCCAATCACCACCACTCGTATCACTTACTACTATCACCACCACCACCTCTACTACTACTACTTTTACTGTACTACCAATAATATCACCACCACCACTACTATTGCTAATACCTCCTCCACCACTACTACTATCACCTAGACGAGTGTAAATAAAGTGTGATGACCGCGGACATGAAGGCGTGGGTTTAGTATTGGTGTAGCAGGCGTGGGTGGCGTGGCAAGAGAAGCAGCTCAGTGATAAAGACTTGTGAGAGAGGGAGGGAGAGTGGTGAGAGGGAGGGAGGAGAGTGGTGAGAGGGAGGGAGGCAGGCAGACTGACTCGCCACTGGTGGAGTCATTGTACGTATTTGTCCGCTGCTCTGATGTGTGGGGGCGTGAGTGGGAGGGATGGGGTGGGTGACCTCTGACCTCTGTATGACCCAGTATGTGACCTCTGACCTCTGTATGACCCAGTATGTGACCTCTGACCATCTGTGTTACCCAGTATGTGACCTCCGATTATCTGTGTGTGTGTGTAATATCTCTCTCTCTCTCTCTCTCTCTCTCTCATCAAGCACCATTACTTGTTTATTTCATCACACACACGACCACCTTGTACCACCTTCCTCCCTTTAAATCTCCTCTCCCTTCCCCGCCCCATCCTCTCCTTCCCAGTCTTCCCCCAGGGAGGATAAACGAATCGTGGGGACTATGAAACAAGCATTAGCTGATGGATATTTTATAGCATGTTTGGTGGTGTGAAGTAATGGTCTCTCTCTCTCTCTCTCTCTCTCTCTCTCTCTCTCTCTCTCTCTCTCTCTCTCTCTCTCTCTCTCTCTCTCTCTCTCTCTCATTATGTATTTACCCCTGAGTGCTCACATTATATTCAAGGGTTAATTCATTGTACTCGGGATTAATTCATTGTACTCAAGGGTTTAAAATAACTTACTCACGGGACTGAGTTATTGTACTCTGGAGGTTGGCCTCGTGCTCAAGGGGTTAAGTCAGTCTGGAGGAGGAGGTATTACCACTCGAGTGGGACTTGAGTGAGGTGTATCACAGGATCGAACCACTCACTGAGAAACTGTTGTGAGAGAGAGGTCTCCTCCCCTCTCTCTCCTCAAATCTCATTCTTTTCTCCTCACTTCTCACTGTCCCTTCACCTCACTTTCTCTCACTCTCACTGTCCCTTCACCTCACTTTCTCTCACTTCACTGTCCCTTCACCTCACTTTCTCTCACCTCTCACTGTCCCTTCACCTCACTTTCTCTCACCTCTCACTGTCCCTTCACCTCACTTTCTCTCACCTCTCACTGTCCCTTCACCTCACTTTCTCTCACCTCTCACTGTCCCTTCACCTCACTTTCTCTCATCTCTCACTGTCCCTTCACCTCACTTTCCTCACCTCTCACTGTCCCCACCTCACTTTCTCACCCTCTCACTGTCCCTTCACCTTTTCTCTCACCTCTCACTGTCCCTTCCACCTCACTTCTCACCTCTCACTGTCCCTTCACCTCACTTCACTGTCCCTTCACCTCACTTTCTCTCACCTCTCACTGTCCCTTCACCTCACTTTCTCTCACCTCTCACTGTCCCTTCCTTCACCTCACTTTCCTCACCTTCACTGTCCTTCACCTCACTTTCTCACCTCTCACTGTCCCTTCACCTCACCTTCTCTCACTTCTCACTGTCCTTCACCTCACTTCTCTCACCTCTCACTGTCCCTTCACCTCACTTTCTCTCACTTCTCACTGTCCCTTCACCTCACTTCACCTCACTGTCCCTTCACCTCCTTTCTCTCACCTCTCTCACTGTCCCTTCACCTCACTTTCTCTCACCTGTCCCTTCACCACTTTCTCTCTCACCTCTCTCACTGTCCCTTCACCTCACTTTCTCTCACCTCTCACTGTCCCTTCACCTCACTTCTCTCTCCTCTCACTGTCCCTTCACCTCACTTTCTCTCACTTCTCACTGTCCCTTCACCTCACTTTCTCTCACCTCTCACTGTCCCTTCCACCTCACTTTCTCACCTCTCACTGTCCCTTCACCTCACTTTCTCTCACTTCTCACTGTCCCTTCACCTCACTTCTCTCACTCTCACTGTCCCTTCACCTCACTTTCTCTCACCTCTCACTGTCCCTTCACCTCACTTTCTCTCACCTCTCACTGCTTCGCCTTTCTCACTTCTAACCTCTTACTTTTTCTCACTTTTTACTCTCGTCCCTCACTGGTTACACTCTGCCACGCCCGCACCACCCACACGCCCGCACCACCCACACGCCCGCACCACCCACACGCATGATATATAAATTTTAATTTAACAAACAGAGCTATACCTCATCACACTATGCTAAATCTCTGTATTTTTATAATAATGTTAGGAAATAATAGTAATAAAATAATAATAATAATAATAATAATAATAATAAGAGTTAGAGTTAAGGGTTTATTGATATCTTCTGCAGCTAAAAGACAAAAAAAATATACAATGGATTGAAATGCCTTATTACATACAGTAACGTGAGGGTTGGGCCGTTTAACAAAAGCTTTCATTACAAAAATTAAAAGGAACTTGAGGTGAACATACAAGTTTATTTTTACAGTGGATGGCAGGGGGTTGGTCCTATGCCCTTGTGATTGAGGTCACGTAGGTCAGGTGTGTTGAGGTGCAGTAGCTCGTTCACAGGTATTGTCATGATGGATCTCCAGTGTGTGTGTGTGTCAATCCGCTTGTCGTCTTTGTCCGAGGCAAAACACAAGAAACCTCAAAGAATAGGTTCATTTTCTCCTTGATCCGTTCCGTATCCCTTCAGTCTGAACCCCCCAGTGAACCTCTGAGACCGAATCCCGCTGTGAACCCTCTGTTGTGTGAGCAAACTGGGAATTCGTCGCCATCTTGAGTGGGAAGATTGTCTAGGTAGCACCCCATGAGAACGTCGCACTGTGTGTGTGTGTGTTGGATGATTTTTCCAGGACTTCCCCCATACCGTCTATTTTATCATCTTCCAGACCACCCACTCCACATTTTCCAGACCCTCACCCCTCATCTTCCAGATTACCCACTCCATATTTTCCAGACCTCACCCTCATCTTCCAGACCACCCACTCCACATTTTCCAGACCCTCACCCTCATCTTCCAGACTACCCACCCATATTTTCCAGACCCTCACCCCTCATCTTCCAGACCACCCACTCCACATTTTCCAGACCCTCACCCCTCATCTTCCAGACTACCCACCCATTTTCCAGACCCTCACCCTCATCTTCCAGACCACCCACTCCACATTTTCCAGACCCTCACCCTCATCTTCCAGACTACCCATCCATATTTTCCAGACCCTCACCCTCATCTTCCAGACTACCCACTCCATATTTTCCAGAAACTCGCACATCATCTTCCAGACCCTCACTCTTCATCTTCCAGACCCCCACTCTTCATCTTCCAGACCACCCACTCCACATTTTCCCAGACCCTCACCCCTCATCTTCCAGACTACCCACTCCATATTTTCCAGACCCTCGCACACATCTTCCAGACCCTCACTCTTCATCTTCCAGACCCTCACTCTTCATCTTCCAGACCCTCACTCTTCATCTTCCAGACCCTCACTCTTCATCTTCCAGACCTCTCCTCTTCATCTTCCAGACCCTCACACCTCATCTTCCAGCAGCTCTTTCTCTTTCAGTTTATCTCATGTAATATGCATCTGCTTATATCTCTCTCTCTCTCTCTCTCTCTCTCTCTCTCTCTCTCTCTCTCTCTCTCTCTCTCTCTCTCTCTCTCTCTCTCTCTCTCTCTCTCTCTCACACACACGCTAAGACCCCATCAAAGACTCTCTCTCTCTCTCTCTCTCTCTCTCTCTCTCTCTCTCTCTCTCTCTCTCTCTCTCTCTCTCTCTTCCCTCTCCACACACGCTAAGACCCCATCAAAGACCCCTCTCTCTCTCTCTCTTCTCTCTCTCCACACGCTAAGACCCTATCAAGACTCTCTCTCTCTCTCTCTCTCTCTCTCTCTCTCTCTCTCTCTCTCTCTCTCTCTCTCCACACTCTAAGACCCCCATCAGCCCCTTTTGCTCTCGTTTTAATGGTAAGGAATTTTAAATTGAGTCTTCCCTGAGGGCCTTGCCTACTGCTGTCTGTATGGTGTGATGTGAGGGAGGGTATGGTGTAGTGTAGTGTGAGGGAGGGTGTGGTGTGAGGGAGGGTGTGGTGTGGTGTGAGGGAACGTGTGTTGTGGTGTGAGGGAGGGTGGTATGGTGGTGTGAGGGAGTATGAGGTTATGTGGTGTGAGGGGGTATGGTGTGATGTGATATGAGGGTATGGTGTGATGTGAGGGTGTGTTGTATTGTGAGGGGTATGGTGTGATATGATGGAAGGTATGGTGATTGGTATGATGTGGTGTAATGTGATGTATGGTGTGGTGTGAGTATTGATGATGATGTTAGATATCAGAAAGTCGCTAAGAGGATATCGCAACAGAAGATGTAATAGGGTCAGGTCAGGTCAGGTCAGGTCAGGTCATATCTCATATTGACGCTGTTAGGTCACACCTCCTGGTACATGGTAGCTGATTGTGTCACTACTACCAGCCTGCTTCCTCCCCTCTCTCCCGTGTTCTAGTACCTACATCGATCTAAGGACCCCCTGCCAGTCAGTCACCCTCCACCCCCACGTGACCTAGTTTCCTCAGTTCTCCCTTTTGAGAATACGAGACCTCTCCTCACCTCCCCTCACCTCACCTTTTTCCTCTGATTCATAAGAGAAAAAACACCGGCTGAGGGGAAACGTGAGGGTTCGAGTGTAAACCGTGGCGTTATGACGAGTATTGTAGGTGTGGGCGCCGGGGTGGGTGATGTGGGCGGCGGGGTGGGTGGTGTGGGCGCCAGAGTGGGTGGTGTGACGGCAGAGCATGAGGATGGTGAAGGGATTCAGATCAACTTTAATGTCACTTTATTGTCGAATCAACTGTATCTTTTGTCGCCCACTACCGCCCCATCCCTGGTGTGTGTGTGTGTGTGTGTGTGTGTGTGTGTGTGTGTGTGTGTGTGTGTGTGTGTGTGTGTGTGTGTGTGTGTGTGTGTGTGTGTGTGTGTGTGTGTGTGTGTGTGTGTGTGTGTGTGTGTGTGTGTGTGTGTGTGTGTGTGTGTGTGTGTGTGTGTGTGTGTGTGTGTGTGTGTGTGTGTGTGTGTGTGTGTGTGTGTGTGTGTGTGTGTGTGTGTGTGTGTGTGTGTGTGTGTGTGTGTGTGTGTGTGTGTGTGTGTGTGTGTGTGTGTGTGTGTGTGTGTGTGTGTGTGTGTGTGTGTGTGTGTGTGTGTGTGTGTGTGTGTGTGTGTGTGTGTGTGTGTGTGTGTGTGTGTGTGTGTGTGTGTGTGTGGTGTGTGTGTGGTGTGTGTGTGTGTGTGTGGTGTGTGTGTGTGTGTGTGTGTGTGTGTGTGTGTGTTCTTGTTTTGAACACTTTAATGGAATGTTCTGCGGTGAGCTCTTTGGTTGGTATGACTCTTGGGTGACTTTAATGAAGAGTCCTGAATAACTCTGTTAAGGGAAGAGTCCTGAATAACTCGTATGTGAAGAGTCCTGAATAACTCGTTAATGGGAAGAGTCCTGGAATAACTCGTTAATGGAAGAGTCCCTGAATAACTCGTTAATGGAAGAGTCCTGAATAACTCGTTAATGGAAGAGTCCTGAATAACCGTTAAGGGAAGATTCCTGAATAACTCGTTAATGGGAAGAGTCCTGGAATAACTCGTTAATGGAAGAGTCCTAGAATAACTCGTTAATGGGAAAAGAGTCCTGAATAACTCGTTAATGGGAAGAGTCCTGAATAACTCGTTAATTGAAGAGTCCTGAATAACTCGTTAATTGGAAGAGTCCTGAATAACTCGTAAATGGGAAGAGTCCTGAATAACTCGTTAATGGGAAGAGTCCTGGAATAACTCGTTAATGGAAGAGTCCGGGAATAACTGTTAATGGGAAGAGTCCTGGAATAACTCGTTAATGGAAGAGTCCTGAATAACTCGTTAATGGGAAGAGTCCTGGAATAACTCGTTAATGGAAGAGTCCTGAATAACTTTAATGGGAAGAGTCCTGAATAACTCGTTAATGGAAGATCCTGAATAACTCGTTAATGGAAGAGTCCTGAATAACTCGTTAATGGAAGAGTCCTGGAATAACTCGTTAATGGAAGAGTCCTGAATAACTCGTTAATGGAAGAGTCCTGAAACTCGTTAATGGAAGAGTCCTGAATAACTCGTTAATGGGAAGAGTCCTGAATAACTCGTTAATGGGAAGAGTCCTGGAATAACTCTGTTAATGTGAAGAGTCCGAATAACTCGTTAATGGGAAGAGTCCTGGTAACCTCGTTAATGGAAGAGTTCCGAATAACTCGTTAATGGAAGAGTCCTGGAATAACTTGTTAATGTGAAGAGTCCTGGAATAAATCGTTAATGGAAGAGTCCTGAATCTCGTTAATGGGAAGAGTCCTGAATAACCTGTTAATGGAAGAGTCCTGGAATAACTCGTTAATGAAGAGTCCTGAATAACTCGTTAATGGAAGAGTCCTGAATAACTCGTTAATGGAAGAGTCCTGAATAACTCGTTAATGGGAAGAGTCCTGAATAACTCGTTAATGGGAAGAGTCCTGGAATAACTCGTTAATGGAAGAGTCCTGAATAACTCGTTAATGTGAAGAGTTCTGGAATAACTCGTTAATGGAAGAGTCCTGAATAACTCGTTAATGGGAAGAGTCCTGGAATAACTCGTTAATGGGAAGAGATCTTAAAACCCTCATTAATTGGAAAAGTTCTACAAAACCTCATTAATAACAAGTCTGTATGGTTGTCTGTTTGATAAATGTGAAGGGCTATGTTATGACAGGTGTGTAGGGTTGTCTGTTATAACAGGCAGGTGTGTGTGGTTGTCTGCTATAACAGGTGTGTGGTTATAACATTGCATAAACGAACGTCATTTACTAAATTTAGGTTCTGTTTTTTGCCTGTGAATAGTCGGACCTATTTTTGTATTCATTTTAGTATATTTGAATCAGGTCAGGTCAGGTCAGATCAGGTTAATTTAGGTAGGTCAAGTCAAGTCAGGTTAGATTAGGTTGGCTTAGGTCAGGTCAGGTCAATTTAGGTAGGTCAGGTCGTCAGGTTAGATTAGGTTGGGTTAGGTTGGCTTATGTTAGGTTAGGTCAGGTTAGGTTAATTTAGGTAGGTCAGGTCAATTTAGGTAGGTCTGGTCAAGTCAGGTTAGATTAGGTTGGGTTAGGTTGGCTTACGTTAGGTTAGGTCAGGTTATGATACGTTCAGTTAAATGCTACTTAGTGAAGTATCATCTTACACCCTATATATCCATTACAGAAAACGGACATCATGTGCGAGCTGGTGGAGGACCTTCAGCTCAAGACGAAGGAGTTCCTCCACCCTAACCCAGCCTCCAGGGCCAAGATGTCCGCAGTCAAGGGTATCGGCAAGTTGTCCGGGCAGGCCAAGGCGTCCACCTACCCCCAGCCTGAGGGTGTTTTGGGTGAGGCCATGGCTGGCTACGGCAAGAGGCTCGGCGAGGACAACCCGTATGGTGAGTACTTGTTGTTGCTACCTGAGTGTTGCTGTCGTTACTGCTACCTGAGTGTTGCTGTTACCTGGGTGTTATTTTATTACTACCTAAGTAATAATAATGCGGAGATTATGTTGCAACTATATCTTGCGCTAGTCAGGCCGCACCTCGATTATACGGTTCAGTTCTGGTGCCCCTATTATAGAATGGATATCAATTCACTAGAGTCAGTGCAGCGAAGAATGACGAAAATGATTCCTGGACTTAAAAACCTTCCATATCAAGATAGATTAAAGAAACTTAACTTGCATTCCCTACAAAAAGACGAAGAGTGTGGGGAGATATGATAGAATTATTTAAGTGGGTGAAAGGAATCAATAAAGGGGATATAGATAAAGTTCTTATAATATCTGAGCAGGATAGGTCTCGGAGCAACGGATTTAAGTTGGATAAGTTTAGGTTTAGGAGGGAGATAGGAAGGAACTGTCACAAATAGGGTGGTGGACGAGTGGAACAAGCTTAGCAACTTTGTAGTAAGTGCTGGAACCCTGGAAAGTTTCAAAAGGAGGCTGGATAGATTCATGGATGATAGAGAGTGGTAGTAATCCTCGACAGGAGCTGCCATGCACAGGTCAACCGGCCTATTGCAGACTCCTTATTTTCTTATGTTGTTATGTTACCTGGGTGTTGATGTTACCTGGGTGTTGATGTTACCTGGGTGTTGATGTTACCTGGGTGTTGATGTTACCTGGGTGTTGATGTTACCTGGGTGTTGATGTTACCTGGGTGTTGATGTTACCTGGGTGTTGATGTTACCTGGGTGTTGCTGTTACCTGTGTTGATGTTACCTGGGTGTTGATGTTCTACCCGGGTGTTGATGTTACCTGGGTGTTGATGTTACCTGGTGGGTTACCTGGGTGTTGATGTTACCTGGGTGTTGCTGTTACCTGGGTGTTGATGTTACCTGGGTGTTGATGTTACCTGGGTGTTGCTGTTACCTGGGTGTTGATGTTACCTGGTGTTGCTGTTACCTGGGTGTTGATGTTACCTGGGTGTTGCTGTTACCTGGGTGTTGCTGTTACCTGCGTTGATGTTACCTGGGTGTTGCTGTTACCTGGGTGTTGATGTTACCTGGGTTGATGTTACCTGGGTGTTGCTGCCTGGGTGTTGATGTTACCTGGGTGTTGCTGTTACCTGGGTGTTGATGTTACCTGGGTGTTGCTGTTACCTGGGTGTTGATGTTACCTGCGTTGATGTTACCTGGGTGTTGATGTTACCTGTGTTGCTGTTACCTGGGTGTTGCTGTTACCTGGGTGTTGATGTTACCTGGGTGTTGATGTTACCTGGGTGTTGATGTTACCGGGTGTTGATGTTACCTGGGTGTTGATGTTACCTGGGTGTTGATGTTACCTGGGTGTTGCTGTTACCTGGGTGTTGATGTTACCTGGGTGTTGCTGTTACCTGGGTGTTGATGTTACCTGGGTGTTGAGTTACCTGCGTTGATGTTACCTGGGTGTTGCTGTTACCTGGTGTTCATGTTACCTGGTGTTGCTGTTACCTGGGTGTTGATGTTACCTGGGTGTTGCTGTTACCTGGGTGTTGATGTTACCTGGGTGTTGATGTTACCTGGGTGTTGATGTTACCTGGGTGTTGCTGCCACCTGCGTTGATGTTACCTGGGTGTTGCTGTTACCTGGGTGTTGATGTTACCTGGGTGTTGATGTTACCTGGTGTTGATGTTACCTGGGTGCTGTTACCTGGGTGTTGATGTTACCTGGCGTGTTGCTGTTACCTGCGTTGATGTTACCTGGGTGTTGATGTTACCTGGGTGTTGATGTTACCTGGGTGTTGCTGTTACCTGGGTGTTGCTGTTACCTGGGTGTTGATGTTACCTTGGTGTTGATGTTACCTGGGTGTTGATGTTACCTGGGTGTTGATGTTACCTGGGTGTTGCTGTTACCTGGGTGTTGCTGTTACTTGGGTGTTGATGTTACCTGGGTGTTGATGTTACCTGTGTGTTACGGGTGTTGCTGTTACCTGGGTGTTGCTGTTACTTGGGTGTTGATGTTACCTGGTGTTGATGTTACCTGGGTGTTGATGTTACCTGGGTGTTGCTGTTACCTGCGTTGCTGTTACCTGGGTGTTGATGTTACCTGCTGATACCTGGGTGTTGATGTTACCTGGGTGTTGCTGTTACCTGGGTGTTGATGTTACCTGGGTGTTGCTGTTACCTGGGTGTTGCTGTTACTTGGGTGTTGATGTTACCTGGGTGTTGATGTTACCTGGGTGTTGATGTTACCTGGGTGTTGCTGTTACCTGGGTGTTGATGTTACCTGGGTGTTGATGTTACCTGGGTGTTGCTGTTACCTGGGTGTTGCTGTTTACCTGGGTGTTGCTGTTACCTGGGTGTTGCTGTTACCTGGGTGTTGCTGTTACCTGGGTGTTGCTGTTACCTGGGTGTTGCTGTTACTCGTTGCTGTTACGGTGTTGCTGTTACCTCCGGGTGTTGCTGTTACCTGGGTGTTGCTGTTACCTGGGTGTCCCTGTTACCTGGATGTTGCTGTTACCTGGATGTTGCTGTTACCTGGGTGTTGCTGTTACCTGTGTTACTGTTACTTGGGTGTTGCTTCTACCTGGGTGTTGCTGCTACCTCGGTGTTACTGTTACCTGAGTTGCTGTCACACGGGTGATGCTGTTACCGCTATTACCTGGGTGTTATTGTTACTTGAGTGTTGCTGTTACCTGGGTGTTTCTGTTACCTGAGTGTTTCTGTACCCTGAGTGTTACTGTTACGTAGGTGTTACTGTTGCCTGGATGTTGCTGTTACCTGTCTGTTACTGTTATCTAGGTATTACTGTTACCTGGGTGTTGCTGTTTCCTGGTTGTAACTGTTACCTGTGTGTTGCTGTTACCTGGGTTTTGCTGTTACCCAGGTGTTGCTGTTACCTTGGAGTTGCTGTTACCTGGATGTTGCACCTGGGTGTTGCTGTTAATCGTGCTGTTACCTGGGTGTTACCGCACGTGTTGCTGTTACCTGGGTGTTACTGTTACCTGGATGTTGCTGTTACCTGCGCTTGCTGTTACCTGGGTGTGTTACTTATTACCTAGGTGTTGCTGTTACCTGGTGCTGTTACCTGGTGTTGCTGTTACCTGGGTGTTGCTGTTACCTGGGTGTTGCTGTTACCTGGATGTTGCTGTTAACTGGGGTTGCTGTTACCTGGGTGTTGCTGTTACCTGGGTGTTACTATTACCAGGGTGTTACTGTTACCTGGGTGTTACTATTACCAGGGTGTTACTGTTACTGCTGCTGCTACCTGGGTGTTACTGTCTGGGTGTTGCTTCTACCTAGGTGTTGCGGTTACCTGGTTGTTGCTGCTACTTGGGTGTTGCTGTTACCTGAGTTGCTGTCACCTGAGTTGCTGTCACCTGGGTGTTGCTGCTACCTGGGTGTTTTTTTATGGGTATTAGCCCACCCGGCATCAGGTCACTGACCCACATCGGGGTCCGGGGGGCGAAAATGTAATAATAATAATTCATAGTAAATAAAGTTTATAATAAAAAGTTAAATAAAATATTAATGGTAATAATAATAATAATAACAACACTGTGATAATAATAATAAATACAAAGAAATACAAGAATGAAAAAAAATCAATAGTGAGAAACTTGGAAGAGAAACAATTGAGACCCAGCAATTGTGTGTAAATGAGGCAGAAAGTCAGATCATCAACCTGGGACTTGGTCACATATGGCAGCAGGGTCTACCATAGACAACACATTATGCTTCCAATATCTTCCCAAGTGGTAGTACCTCCCTGTTTGGTAGCTACCTACTGTTACTTGGGTGTTGCTGCTAACTGGGTGTGACTGTTACTTGGGTGTTGCTGCTACCTGGGTGTTGCTGCTTCCCGGGTGTTGCTGCTACCTGGGTGTTGCTGCTACCCGGGTGTTGCTGCTACCCGGGTGTTGCTGCTACCCGGGTGTTACTGTTACCTGGGTGTTGCAGTTACCTGGGTTTTGCTGTTACCTGGATTTTCCTATTACCTGGATGGATGTTGCTGTTACCTGGGTGTTACTGTTACCTGGGGGTTGTCACCTGGGTGTTAAGTGTGTGTGTGTGTGCGCGCGCCAGGTGTAGCCAGCTGCTGAGTCTATCTGTACCTGCTAAGAATGTCTCACCGAGGAATATATCATTATAGAATATCCCTCAGGCTGTTACAAGAGAGCATCTTGGGGTACATTACGTGGGTAAGAGTGGCCCTGGTCACGGATCACCCAATCATGACTCTGCTTCCTCCTTAACGTGATTACCATTGGTGGACGTCCGTCACGCTAGTGGCTGGCCAGAAACGGGGTGACCCCTTGCTACAGTGTGTAATTTTAATGTGTGTGGTGTACATGTGTGGATGTACTCTGATAAATGTTGAAAGAGTTTTACGAGAGCCCGAGATAGATCCAACACAGCAAAAATAATCTATTCTTATATCAGTATGCGCTATGACTATTCCTCCTCTTTTTCTCTTCTTTGTTCTTCCTTTGTTGTTTTCTTTTTTCTTTATTCTTACCTTCTTAAATGCGAGGTCGTGTGCCACTGCTACCACTTCCGCACCACTTAATTTACTGAGGGAAGTAAGTCTCCGTCCGCCATCAGGTAAGTGGATGGAAAATAGTGTTTCCAGGGAATGTGTCCATTTACACATATACAGTACTGTACACCGACGTCAGATAATGTGTTGTATTATGGTAGACCCTGCTGCCATATGTGACCAAGTCCCAGGTTGCTGATCTGACTTTCTGCCTCCTTTACACACAATTGCTGGGTCTCAATTGTTTCTCTTACTTTGACAACACAACATACATAATGTATATCGTTTCTCATTCTTGGTTTATTTTTATCGTTTGTGTATTTATTTATGGTTATTATTATTATGTTTAGTATTTGATTTTTAATTTTTAAATTATTATAATAATAATAGTTTATTATTATTATTGTTATTATTATTATCATTATTATTGTTATTA